TGTAAAAAATTGGAATGTTTTTTTTCAGCTGTTCGTCTCTCTCACTCTTCCTGCACGTAGCTTATCACAACACAATTTTCTTATCATTTTGGGTTTTCACCTAGATCGAAAAGCTTGCACTGATCTTTCCGATGTGCCTGCTTTTAAAGCGTGATTCTTGTAACAGCTCTTTCCCTCCCCTTACACCTTCACTTCTCTCTTCCTTTTCTTATTTAACTTTACTTCGTTACATATTTCAAAGGTATGCGTTACCTATTTGAAAGTGATGATCGCTCACCAAGATATCAGGGGGACCTGTTAAAGATATGATATAGTTGCTCTACCAAAACTTGCACACAGGGATACTGTGTTTTCCAGGCCAAGCGATTGGTTACTAATATATGACTTTTGCGGCTCGCAAACAATAAACCCGAGTATTGATTGAAGCCTTTTCCTTCGTATCGAGAAGTCGATGGTTTTAGAAAGAGCCTGTTCTAATGTGTATCTGCGTATCGCTATGATAGCATAGATTTAATGAAGTTACTGGTGGTTACAATAGATCAATCTTCAGGGTCCCCCTTTTCCAAATAAAATTCAGGTGAGCTACCTGGTTCGACTTGCTTTTCCTCTGTCGGACATATTATTTCACGAGTCCGGATTATGTTATACAGGCTTTGTTCGATTAAAAGCCTCGTGCCAAATTTCTTTTCGCGCGTCCCCTTTCACATACACGTAATATGACTGATTTGATCTCGATTTTGCCTCCCGAATCATTCAGTACATCTTCTCGTTTATCGGACAGCGGGCTGTGTCGAATGTGTGAAAGTATGTCGCCGCTGGTTATACGCGATCCCCACTTACCAGACAGCCCTGTGGACACTGGTGGGAATCTCGCCTGATGCATGGAACAAAAGGAGCGACGCGATGCTTCAATGTTTGGGACAACAAGTCGAATCAGTATACATCAAATCTCAAGCCACGTATAAAGTACTGGAACGACTTGCTTGGCGAAGATACAGCATTCGCTTCCTTGGTGAAGTAAAACGATACTCTTTTTTTTTGCGTTAAGAGGATCGCGTATTCGGTAGTACTTACTACTGCTTATGCGCAAAAGATATACTAAAGCTTTTTCTTTGTTTTCAATAAAAAAAAATAAGACATCAGCAACCATGTGCATAGCAAACAATTACAACCTATTTTCGACAGTAGCACGTTACTGCCAGGATTCATCAGATATTTCTCGCATACGCTAACTGCTCTGACGATTTCATTTCACACTTGCGATATCTCGCTGCCAATGCTACTGGACTTCTTGCCGTCATTAACGCATCTTTCAGTGATGTTTGATGGCCGCACTAACTTATCAGACGCTACTCTTGAACAAGTTGATGGCAGAAGCAGACACAAAAGGCCACCGATACACAACATTATCTTCTTAAGACTGGACGGTGTTCTCAGTTTTAAATACCGGATCCGTCCCTTATTGCAGCGTTGCTCCCACATCAAGTACTTGATATTATCGCCTTACTCACGATTCAACAACGTATCTCCAACCAACATCTATACAGCTTATGAGCTGTGCCCTCTATTACGCTACATTATGTGGGAATGCAGCGAACCAGTCATAGCAGACAGATGGATTTCACTATCAAGAAGCACGAGTGCTTATATTAAGTAACTGAAAGGAAAGCATCGAATGATGGCGAGGAAGGCAGTATGGCTTATGAACTGCTATTCAACGGCAAGGGACACGAGAGGATCATGCCGATAGTAGTAAAATCGCAGCCGATACTAGAACATTTACGTATAGTCGCCTGTGGTCTTTCTGATATTCATTGCTGGGATGTCTTGGCACGCAACCAATTCACACAGCTGACAAGTTTGGGGTTGACGGACATCACTGGTATGTCAAGCGAAGATTGGTCCCAGATTTTGCTCATGCAGCAACAAAATGAGATCTTGGAAGTTGGAAATCGCGCTGGAATAACGCAGTATCTGAACAGCATTATCGCAACCATCGGTACGCTGCAACGGCTCCGTATACTTTCCTTGCGAAATTTCCTTCACATGTTCAGCGAGAATCCTCTTTGCGATCTTACTCCGCTTCGACGTTTGCAACAGCTTGAAAAAATGCGTCTCACGAACATACCCATCGACAACCAAGGTCTAATGCAGTTGTGCGAACCATCACAGCACCCACTAGTCAGGAGATTAAGCTTGAACCCGCACATCACCGTACAGTAATAGTGTCGACGACTTTCTCACAGAGGCAGGATGGATTGTGTGGGCACAACGACTTGAGGAAACCAAAATACTGAATCTGGAACTGACAGCCGTGAAAGGTGTTACTGGTGCTGTCCTTGAGCATTTTGAACAAGTCGAAAGCTCGGTGCTATTGCGTGTTTCACGGATCTATAGTCTCACCAATGCAGGCATCAATGCTTTTCGTATCATTGAAGGATCTAGTAAAAAGATTGAAGTCGTGGGGTGTTCAGGATTATCTCGGACAGATGATCTTCGTATGCCATACAACATATTTTTAATAATTGAGTACCATTGCGGTGATATTTGCAGTCTGGCTTGTACTTTTATTTATAATCAACATCCACCTGCCTCGCTTCGCTCGGCTGAATGAGCCCCTTCGCTGCGCTCCGGGTCATTCAACGGATTGGATGTTTCCTGGGGGTTCCCCCCAGACCCCCAAGTTGGGGGGTTCCCCCCCACACCCCCCTTCTAAACCCTAACCAAAGCTCGCTTCGCGAGCTTATTTATTGCTATGACTACATATAACCCTAAACGTTATCATTATTGCTATGACACGAAACCCTACTACACGTTGGTTTGTCAAATTAAAAGGGACGACAGAGGAACTTTTGACTGGTATTTCACTGTTAATGCGAGGATAACTTATTTGTTGCTATCGACAGCTCTTACATATTTTTGAAAGCTCATCAATGTGTCCGCTTTCATTTGAACATCATGGTAGATTATTGCTGCTTGTCGTAATTAGCTGAAAGGTGACGGCAGCTTCGCGTAGTTCTATATCTTATTGTTTCGCGTCAGATCTACTTACGAAAGATACCGTGAAGAAGTAAGAATATTCTATTGTACGTTAAATGATAATAAGTGAAAATAAGAGTTTAGAAGCAAAAAGAAAAAGAGCAGAAAAGGGCTTAAGGTGATGGAGGTGGAAATGCGGTGATTGTTGTTGTGGGAGAGGTTGGTGGTGAATTTTCGGCTTGTTCAGGAACAGAGGCCGGCGGATGCAAGAGAACTTCTTGGTAGACGATGTTGGTGGTTTGTGGTGGTCCAGACCCTGAGAGATCGATGGCAACGCGAAGATTGTTAGGGTCAGTTGCCCGAGATAGCGCAACATATAGTTGGCCATGAGCAAAGACATCTTCTGCAAGGCGGACACCGACATATTGCAGGGTTTGCCCTTGCGCTTTGTGGATGGTCATAGCAAAGGCAGGGCGGACAGGGAATTGGCGGCGGCAGAGGATGAAGGGATAATCTCCTTCCATTGTACACATATTGATACGTGGAAGGAAAAATTCCGGGCCACGATGCCCTTGGTCAATTCTTTTCACGGCAATACACCGATCAAGAAGCCTTGTCACGAACAATTTTGTGCCATTGCACAGGCCGGCGTCGGGATCCAAGTTGCGCATGAGCACTACAGGCATGCCAGGCTTGAGCTGTAACGTATGGCTAGGTATGCCATTAGCGCTGAGACTGTTTAAAAACTCGACGGGATAGTTGACCACTGCTGCTTCTGGGTCATCAGCGTCTATGATACGGTCATTGGCAGCATAATCGCGCCCTTCACCTGGAAAAATACCGTAGGCTGCCTCGTTAATCGCATCGACGTCGACGTTTTTTGCTGCCAATATGGCGCGAGCGTTGAAATCTTCAGGGTGCGGCTGTGGATTGCGTATGTTGGGATATATGGCGTCTATAAGACCCATGGTGTCTGCTGCATCCATACGCCATTCCTGAGAAATTTCTACGCTTTCTGTATATGGAGCACGTCCATCGCCAATGGCAAGAAGTGTCTCAGCAAATGCGGGAGCAGCAGGACCGGCGTGACGTACACGCATGTTGATGGTCAAATGCAATACTTGAACATCACTCCAAAAAGAAGCAGAACGGATGCAATCACCAACAATTTCGGACCGAGTCCCTTTCTTGACGACGGGCAGCAACTGGCGAAAATCACCACCAAAAACGACAACTTTTCCACCAAAAGCAACATTGCTCAGGCGAGGGTCAACGGCACCCATGACATCACGAAGTGACCTGTCAACAGCTTCGAAATTCCATTTGCTGCACATAACAGCTTCATCCCAAATGATAAGAGAGGTACTCTGTATCAAGTGTGCATGAGGACCACCGAGTCGAATATTGCAGGAAGTGGACGCGTCTGCATTCAACGGAATCTTGAAGCGGCTATGTGCAGTGCGCCCGCCAGGGAGCAGGATTGCAGCGATACCGGAAGAAGCGACAGGCAGTGCAATCATGTCGCGGGAGCGCGTATGGCTCAAAAGAGTCTTGAACAGCTGAGACTTGCCAGTTCCTCCAGGTCCATTCACGAAAAAAACACGTGGTTGGTTGTCGTCGTCAGGTCGGCTGATGGCAGTGGAGATGGTGTCGAAGGCGTGTCGTTGATCGTCGTTTAATGTTGGCAACAGCGTCTGAAGAAGATGACGCTGCTCTTCCTGATCGTACTCGCGCCGTTCGACAATCTCGAGTGCTTCCAAAGGAGGCAACAGATCAAGTTCGGTGACAAACTCTTGAGGGAGAGAGGGGAATTCTGACAGACGATGACCGGTTGCTTGTAAACGTGACTCGATGTCACCAAGTGCTCTTTGGTAAACCTGGTCTAGTTGATCGGGTGTCAATTCGGCCTCATTTGGCATAGAGAGCGACCTGCGCATCTCGAAAAAGTAGTCGTCGGCCATTCGATCGCGATAGGTGTTCCATAAGGACAGCGGATCAGCAGGCGAGCAACTGGTAAGTATGCACACAAAAAGTGCGCGGATTGCGGATGCAGATGGTGCTACTGCTGATGCTTCTTCTAAGCAACGATTCCATTCATCATCTGACTCTAGAAGACCACGTGCTAACGCTGCTTGCTGGAATGTTGGATGGTTCACGCCATCGCTGTCTCGTTTGAGATCGTCAAAGCTTCTTGGTCCAGCCACAGAAAGCAAAAGAAGGCGAAGACAGTACAACTCCATATCGGACAGAGAGGCAGAGTAGATGCGCGTCACCACATTCTTAAAAGGGGGATTGGAGCGGCGGTCCCATCGACGCTCTCGGGCATTCCAAGTGTAATGACAGGGAATCTGCGGATACTTGAATTGCTGGGCGGATTCGTCCCGACGACAAAGAGCAAAAAAGCCCAAAAGCCTGGTACCCTCCCTTGCAGCCTCGCGAGCAGCTGCCAATTGCTCTGGTGTCATAGTGTCGCGGAAACGCACCAATTGTTGTTCTGGCAGGTGAATGTCGAGACGTACAACCATGGGATCATGCATGTGCACACGAAACTCTAAAGCTCGCCATACTGCCTCACAGGGTCCAATATATCGCGCGTTCTGATAATCAGTGACTTCATTGGTCTGCTCAGCAACTGGGTCGGTAGGTGTAGTGGTTGTGGTGGTGGAATTGGCTGTGGCGGTGGTAGTAGTGGGAGGAGTAGAACGGGTTGTTTCCAACTGCGCTCTGTCGGATCCTTTGGTGATGTACTTGCAAAGGTATTTGATTGCCCGAGCAGAGGTACAGATCTCGACGTTGATATGCGCGTTGTACTTGTGACAGAGGTAGGGGTTATACGGGACGACGTGTTGGTTGGTAGCGGTGAAACCCGATCGCTCAAAAACGTGCTGACGTTGGGGATTGAAAACCCTTTTATATAGAGGGTAACCGTCACGATTTACGCGAGTCTCGTTGTTGTACGGCTTTGGATAGCCCTGGGAGCATCGACCATTCTGCATACAGACGGCATTGGGGTTATCGTTGCCACAGGGACCGTGTATCATGCTTGATGTTACTGTGCGGTACAGCTGCGGCTGTCTCACAGGGTCTGGTAACTCAGCTGATACAAATCGGTCATAGTCAGTTGGCGTGTGAGGGCGGTCTTGCTCGTTCAGGATCAACAGAATGTGGACATGAGGTAAACCTCGCTTCTGGAATTCGACAGTGGCGACATAGCCCTCAACACGACCAAAGCACTTGGATTCCTTGACATGCTTGAGCAACTCGGTAATCTTCAAATGGAATACGCGGGAACAGATGTCGGGACGATCATACGCCTTTTGCCCAGGATGGAGCTCAGCAAGAATCTCTGGCCATTTGGGATTGCACGTAAACGTGATGAATAGCGTTGGTGTTCCTCTTTGGCGAATAATTGCGAGGCCATCTTGAAGCATTTGCTTCATATACCGCGGACCACCCGTAAACGACGACGGCAAAATCACAGCACGACCGACTTGGCGCGGATCTACACCATCACCGATACCACCATACAGTTCGGAACGCAAAGTGTCTTGATTCAACGAAATGAAAAGCAGGCGAGATGCTTCAATTCTTGCATAATTGTCGACAACCAATTGCTGGAACAATCGACCAAAATGGTGATCGAAAGTCTCATTGTCGCCACCGCGAACCATGAGCATATATGCGCAATAGTCGAGCAATGTCACTGTATGCATATTACCATCCACTCCTTCACACCGCATGCCCGCGAACCAACCATGGTCACCAAATGGATACATGAGGACATAATGAAGCGGAAGATATGATGAGTGAAGGGAGCTAACGTATTGCAAACCTCGGGTACGGTCATGGATGACGATGTCGTGTGGTGTGGTTGACCCATCCACCCTATTTTCCACAACCATTGCTGCGACCTCTGGATATGTTTGTTGATCGTAGCGGCGTCCCAGATCCGATGCGCCACGAATGACGACGCTTAGTGATCCAATTGGACGATCACCAAGGCGTTGGGCGGCAGATGTCAGAGTGCGTGCAAACGGATTGTGTTGGGTCATGACAGTTTGGATACGATCGATGATACCCTGGTCGAGGCCCGAAAACAATGTCGTCCTGCGTGCCACTTGTTCTTGGGTATCA